TTTCTGGGTGGGGCAAGAAAGAAATTGGCTTCTTTGGCAGTGTCACACATCTGGGGAAGTCAGGTACTCGCTCATACACTCTTAAGTTGACTGCAGAGGAGAAATCGTTGCCTGAGAAGGGCTCTCTTGGCACTGAGCTGTGCTGGAGCTGTCTTGGAGGAAGGGTAACATGGGTAAAGTCAAACTATTCCTCTTCTCTTAGATTTTTTTTTTTCCCCCAGTGGTGTACAGGATCTTTTCTAATGGACTCTTGGACTTCCACAAAGGTTCTCTCATCTGTGAGCGATTGTCTAAATTCGTGCTCTTCAAGGGCTCATAGACCAGTTCTGAGAAGCTGGAGTTGGCATCGGCCACTTTAGGGTCCACATCCAGGACCATTTGTCTGTATGTCTGTTACCTGATGCCTGGGTGGGTGAGGGTCCTTCCAGGTCTCTTGGCATATGGCACTAGTGTCTGAACCAGAGCCAAATGGGGCTGTAAATAAGTCACTCTTCTGTTAAGGAGCTGCTTCTGAGTCTGTAGCCAAGACATTCAAGTCAGCTGCCTGGGTGCTGGCCTGTCTTCTTAGAACAGCTCTCCTCACTCTTGGACTGCACTAGGGTTTTACAGTCTCTTCTCTGGATCTCATAGCTCCCACAAAGGCACTTTTGTTTGTAGATGGATGCTAGATTGTTGTGACTGAAGGTGGATATGTTGGGGAATATCTTTTTTGGCTGTCTTGCTGATATCACCTTTCCATGTAAACTTTAGAATCTGTCAGTAGTCACAAAATAACTTGCTAAGATTTTGATTGGTATTGCATTGAATAGGTCAAGTTGGGAATAAATGACATCTTGGCAATACTGAGTCTCCTTCATGATCATGAAATATCTCCATTTTTTAGTTCTTAGATTTTTTACATCAGAGTTTTATAGTTTTCTCCATATTAGATCTTGAACATATTTTGTTACGTAGCTTTCTTTTTAATGCTATTGTATCCTCTTAATTGGCATTTAGAGTTCTAATTGGTTAAATTATTTGGTTTGGATTCAGCATGTGGTAATTTATTAATAAAGTATTTCTTCCTCTTTTGTCTTTTTCTATTTTATAATGGCCTTTTTCTATTTTATAATGTTGAATAGAACATCCCTCTGTTCATATCTCAGATTTTTTGGAATAGCTACACGAATGATTCTACATCTGTTTTTTTTTTTGGCATGGCTGTAACTTAGAAAATTCAGTTGATTTCAGTAAAGATTTATTAATTGATTCTTATACTTGTATAGATCTCATACTTTTATATTACAGATTAAGAAATCCCAGTAAATATAGGTTGTTAGATAGTGTCATACTGGTCCTGATTTTTGGTTTGGAAAATGTGGTTAATGAATGACTAGGATGGAGACGGCCAAGACTGATTCTGTGAGACTATTGTAAGCTGGTATAAGTGAGCAAATAGGCAGAGTCAATGGTAGGACAAGGTACTTTTGTTGGTATTTATAGAACCTTTTTTTTTTTTTTTTAAAGAAGAAGTACTTTGTTAAGTACGAGTCAGTTAATTAAGGGTGGTACTGATTGTGACAGTATTAACTACCACCTTACCTAGTAGTTGGCAAAACGATGCATTATAGTCCTGAAGTAATTCCCTAACAGAGTCACATTTGAGTATGAATTGAAGATGTGAATTTGTTACTTTAGCCCAGTGAGGAATAACTTAGAAAAGTGTAAAATGTTTAATTTTTGTTTCTCTTATTTATAGAACCTCTATACACAGCATTGTTCTGTAGATCAAAAACATTCTCAGCTACCCTAAGAAAGCCAATTTTCTCACTGTATTCTCTTTCAGTTAATTAGAATTCATTTGGTATATAAATTAGTTAATGATGACTTGGAGTGGTTTATCTTAGAGGAACTACGTTAGTAGTTTCACTCTGACACATTAGACTTGTATTTTATTCACTGTTAGAATTATAGAATTATAGACTGGGAGGCAGGTGGTATAGTGGAAGACCATGACTTTTGGAGACATAGTGGTTCTGTTTCTTCCTAGCAGTGGTACTTTGGGCAGATTGCTTAACATCACTAAGTTTCTTTTTCCTCATTGTAAGTTACTGTAAGTGGGATATTTAACATAAAAATTCCTTTCTTGTGTGTGGTACAGAGTATTAATACAATAGAATTCCTGTCTCGATTCTTGTCTTCTCTTCATTTTCCCAATCTGCTTTATAAAACTGCAGCTGAAGTGCTCTTTCTAAAACCAAAAACTAGTTCATGCCTTTTCTTCTTGAAAATCCTTCAGTGGATCCCTTAGCCTCAGGATGAATTCCAAATTCCTCAAGGGCCTGTAGGTTTTTTCTAGTCTTGTGGTTTATTTCCCCATTGGGCCTGCATTATAGTCCTTAAGTAATTTCCTAACAGAGTCACATTTATTTGAGTATGAATACTGAAGCTTGCTCACTTCCAAGCTAATGTTCTTGTTGCTTGTTACATTCTGCTTTGAACTCTGTCTTTTGCTCTTTGCCCTTCTTTCTGACCCTCAAGCTGCTTCGCTTGTTCAGAACATTAGGTTAAATAAAATTTCAGTCCCTTAAGTACATATGAGAAGAGTGAGAGATGTGTAAAGACCATTGGACTAAGATGCAGACCTGGGTTCTAGTCCTAGCTCCTCCATTTACTAGTTAGAGGATCTTTGGACAAATTAATATCTCTGAGCTTTATGTAGTGTCCTTATCTTTGAAACCAGGGAGTCTGCTTAGTTTATTGTGTGAAAATGCTTTGGAGCATAAATATATAGCTGTTAATAGTATTATTGTCAAGAGTATAAGTTGGGAGCTCCTGGGGTGGCTCATTTGGTTAAGTGTCCAACTCATGATTTTGGCTCAGGTTATGATCTTCATGGGTTTGTGCCCAGTGTCTGGCTCTGTGTTGATAGTGTGGAGCCTGCTTGGGATTCTCTCTCTCCCCCTTCTCTCTCTGCCTCTCTCCAGCTTTTGCACATGCTCTCCCCTTCTTTCTCTCAAAATAAATAAACTTAAAAAAAGTCTATTTTGGGTATTTGTAAGATAGCTCTGTTTTCTGATATTTGAGGAATTGGATTATGGGCCCTTACCCCAAATTTATATGTTGAAGCCCCAACCCTCACCCTGCTTGTGACTGTATTGGAGATAGGGCCTTCAAGGAGGTGATTAGGATTAAATGAGATCATAGGGTGTAGCTCTGATAGAACTGGGTTCCTTTTATTTTTATTTTTATTTTTTTTAATTTTTTTTTTTAACGTTTATTTATTTTTGAGAGAGAGAGAGAGACAGAGCATGAATGGGGGAGGGTCAGAGAGAGGGAGACACAGAATCTGAAGCAGGCTCCAGGCTCTGAGCTGTCAGCACAGAGCCTGATGCAGAGCTCGAACTCACAAACCATGAGATCATGACCTGAGCTGAAGTCGACCGCTTAACCGACTAAGCCACCCAGGTGCCCCTGAACTGGGTTCCTTTTAAAAGAGGAAGAGACACCAGAGATCAGTCTCTTTCCACCATGTGAGGACATAATGAAAAATTGGTCCTCTGTAAGCCAGGAAGAATTCTCTCACCAGAAACAGAAGGCTGATCTTGGATTTTCTAGCCTCTAGAGCTGTAAGAAAATGAATTCCTGTTGTTGAAGCCATTCAACATTTTGTTATGGCAGCCTGAGCAGACTGATACATATTAAAATATGATTGCCTTGTGGGAAGGGCAAACTAGACTGATTTCTCAGATAACATTTAATGAGTAACACAATCAGCCATAAATTAGTGGACTAGTTTAGAAAATGACTTTGGTAACTTGGGAGTTACCCTAATAGATTTTTTGTCTATATAACTAGGAGTATTAAAGTTGTTACTTTCAAGTTTAACCAAAACCTGTTTTGGGAACTTACTCTGCCCCTCTCGCATATAAAAATTAAATCTTTAAGGATGCATTTGGCTGTAGGTAATGAACAACTCAGGCTTAAACAATGTGGAACATTTATTATTTTATATCACAAGAAATTCGAAGGTAGGATTGTCCCAGTAGTATCAAGGATTCAAGTTCTTTCTGTTCTCCTATTTGGTGGGGTGGTAGTGAGGTATTATTAGCATTAGTTTTAGTTTCCTGCTGTTTGCAAGCTGGTTGCAGTAAAAATGTTACATGGCTATTATAGAACATTTGGAAATTCCACAAAAGAATAAAGATGAAAGGACAAATCGTTTATAATCCAACTGTTAACATGATGATGTATCCCCTCTCAATATCTGGTGGGTTAGTTTGTATAGGTATTTAATTATACCAAGCAAAATTAGGTCACACTATATACACAGATACATATTCTGTTTTTTTTCCATTAAGATTATATAAGAAAAATTCTCTAAGTAAAAATAATAATTTCTTTCTGATTATTGAAGTAATGATCATTGAAAAAATTGGATACAGAAAAAAATACAAAGAATATTAAAAATCACCCATATCTCCTTACTGAAGGATAACTACTAACATATTGATATATTAATATATTGGTATATTGTTGAGTGTGTATAAATATACACATTTCTTTAAAAAAAAAACAGGTACATAATTATTTGTTACTAGCTTTTTACCAAATATACACCTTTTCTTGTGGTTCATACCCCAGCATCTTTGCTTCTTCACTCTTAACCTGTACCTGTGGTCTCATGAGGAGTTTCAGTTGATTTAAGAAGAAGAATCTTTTTTTTTTTTTTTTTTTTTGCAAAATAATAAATTTATTACATATGACTGGCAGATAGCTGTTGCTGATATATTATTCTCCCAATGTTCATGAAACATTTCAAAGTAAAATATAATTAAAAAAAATTTTTTTAACATTTATTTATTATTGAGAGACAGAGAGAGACAGAGCATGAGCATGGAGGGACAGAGAGAGGGGGAGACACAGAATCTGGAACAGGCTCCAGGCTCTGAACTATCAGCATAGAGCCTGACATGGGGCTCGAACTCACAAACCGTGAGATCATGACCTGAGCCAAAGTCGGATGCTTAACCGACTGAGTCACCCAGGCGCCCCTCAAAGTAAGAAATAATTTTATACACCACACAATCACGGGGGTCCTTGAGGATCTCCAAACATTTTTTGAACTAGTTGACTTTCAATTGCGAGACCTGGTCCCAGCCCTGAAGCTTCAGGAGGTTAAGTGTGCCACCCAAGGTGGCTGGAATTTTCCCAGCTATAAGGACAAGATTCTACTTCAGAGATGAAGGGAGGGGAGTTCCCAAAAGGGACCAATAAAACCCCTGAAGCAGAAACAAGAGGAGACAAGGGTAGAGGGGGACTGCGGTTGAATCAGAGGACCTCTGGGGTGAAGGTGAAGAGCCCTCTCCAGGACCAGCATTCCTGGGTGCTCACCTGTGTCATCCCTCCTGCCCCAACAGAGGAAGGACTGCCCTACAACAGCAGTAGGTAGATCTGAAGGACTGCCCTACCAACAGCAGTAGGTAGATCTGATGCCCTACAACAGCAGTAGGTAGATCTGATGGTAGATCTAGTAGTTTGCGGAACCTGAAGAGGGGGCCCAGCAGGACCCTCAAATGGATTCTGGAGTATCCAGGATGTCAGGATGTACATGCCCTTGGTTAATGAGAAGTCCTTGCCAATAGTCCCAGGTCCTGGAAGGCATCAGTCAGGTTGTTGCAAGGATAGCCCTTGACTAAGACCAGTGGGCCTGCACAACCACACTGGAGTTGGTCACATGAGCTCCATAGTGACCAGCCCAGAACTGCGTGTCCTGGCCCCAGTGTTCGAAGGACACAAAGTGGATGCCCATCTTGATGTTAGAGAACATGTGGGTGACCTGAAAGCAGACATTGTTGTTCCACTGCTGGATGGGAACAGGCATAGCAGAGAATTTATGTAGGACAGTCTGGTTGGCATTTAGAAGTTGGACACGGAGTCAGTACATACAGCCACTGTCGTGTCAGGCTCCCCACCTGAAGGAAGACACGAAGCAGGTCTGTGAGGGAGTCCCAGGCACCGTTGACCTGTTTACCTCCACCACCCAGCTGTTCCCACTGTGCTGCACCATCCATTTCCAGAGGCCTTCTGTTCTGAAGAAGAAAAATCTTGAGCTGAATTTACAGATGGTTTTACATCATATGCTGGTACCACCTGAAGATGGATATTTATGACACTGTAGCCACACTCAGGGGTGACCCAGAAGGGGAGTGGTGAAGGGAAATTCTCCTGATGAATGGAACTTTGAGCAATGCAATGGAACTTTTTGCTTGGAAAGAGATGGTTAGAGATGTAGATCCACTCTGACTCATGGCAGTAGCAATTGTTGGGCTTATTCATTATGGACCTGGAAAGAACATAATTGGAAGTATGCGGAATAGGTATATAGATATGCTTCTCAGTGGATATCAGGTAATATTTGTGTTCATTGTGAATGCCCATCAAAGAGTAACCTCAACAGAGAAGGATCTCTGTAATCAAGTGGACAAGGTGTAACCTCTGGATTCTAGTCTCTTTCCCCAGCCACCTTTATCCTTGCTCAGTGGGCTTATGAAAATGATGTCAGGGTGGCAGGCTGGAGATTGTGTATATGCTTAGCAATATGGACTTCCATTCACCAAGACCAACCTGGCTGCCACTGCTGCTGAATGACCAGCTTGCCAGTTGGAGAGAGCTGACACTGAATCCCTGAGATAGCACCATTCCTCTGGTATTTCTTATCACTTACTTTTGACCAGTCAACTCATTTTATAGCAGGTGAAATGTGGCATTGGGCTCATGCTTATGGAATTATGATCTTACCATGTTCTCCACTACCTTGAAACAGCTGAATTGATACAACAGTGCAATGTTCTTTGAAAACTCACTTCACCAGCTGGTGGCAGTTCTTTGCAGTTCTGGGGTAATGTTCTCTAAGATGTGGTTCCAGTCTCTGAATCAGCCACCAGTGTGTGGTGGTATTTCTTTGGTAGCCAGAGGTTCATAGTTAGAGAATCAAGAGGTTGACATAAAGTGAATGAAGTCCTCTCACTATTACCCCTAGCAAAATTTTTGCTTCCTTTCTCAGAACTCGGGGGTATACTAGTTTAGAGTTCTTATTCCCAAAGAGAGGAATGCTTTTACTGGGAAAAGCAGTATTGGTCCTGTTGAACTAGAAGTTGAACACCTGGCCACTTCAGCTTTTTCATGCCAGTGAATTGATAGGCAAAGCAAAAGATTACTGGATTGGTTAGGGTGATTGAGCCTGACTCCCAAGTGGAAATTGAGTTGCTGCTACACAGTGAGGGTGAAGAGGACTATGTGAGGAATGCAGTAGATCATCTGGAGTGCCTCTTAGTACTTCCGTGACCTATGATAAAAGTTAACAGAATATGAAAGCAATTGAATACAGGCAGGGCTGTTAATGGCAATGGTTTGAGTCACCAGCCAAGGAGCAACAACCAGATGAGATGATTGCTGAGGATAAATGGCATATGTAGTAGACAGTAGAAGAAAATTATAAATGCCAGCTATGACCTCATGATCAGTTACAGAATGAAAACTCTAGTATTTATGAATATTTGTTCTATCTATACCTTAATATTTGTGTATATATAGTCGATTCTTTTTCTCCTCTCTCCCCAGTTCTCCTGTATTTAACTTAAGGTGTGTTAGCCTAAGTTAATACTAGGTTATACTTACTTAATGCGAAGTTAAATACCAAGTTAATACTAGGTTCTTAGTTAATGCTAAGTTAAATACTAGGTTAAGTGGTTAACCTAGTATTTGAGTATTTAAGTTATAAGATATCAAAGGGGAAGTACAACGAAGCCAGCTACAAAAGGAATCAACATTACTCAAAGAGAAAGTAGACTTTGTATTCTCTTTTAGGAAGATAGCATCTTTTTGATTGTATGCGGATGGTTGTATTATGTTAGACTGAAGCATGTTTTTGCTATTGTCTTTATTTAGGATTTAAATACAGTGAAAGAGGTTGGTACACATACCATATTGATAGAGGGTACTGTGGTGGTTTGTGCTATGTCAGTTTACTTAAGCTGGTTCTATAGATGATTCCTTCCGTGTATGGTTGTGGGTTAGAATTGGCCAGAAGAGAATTTATGTAAACAGCATTCATTAACTTCTAAAGGTTTCTCTGGTTAGATGTATTAAGAGGCACAGAGGTGTTGGTGGGTTCCAGCTTGACCTTGGTCTCCTTTGTTCTGCATCTGCCTCTTTTTCCTGGTTACTGACAGTTTGGTCAACAGTGGCTTCAGGCCCCTCACCCGATACGAGACCTACAGAAGCATAGCTTCCCAGATCTCCCCAGGAGCATTTCTTTTGCAGTCCCATTTCTGCAGCTGGGTGTGGTTGGCTTCTCAAATTGATGACTCTATGATCCTCCCACTTGCCTTGTGTACTATCTCAGCCTCCCCAACTATCCCTATAAATTGTATAAAAATTCTATAATTAATTTCTTTTTTTAAGTTTATTTATTTATTTTGAGAGAGAGAGAGAGCACGTGCGTGAGAGCACACAAGCAGGGGAGGGGAAAAGAGAGAATCCCAAGCCAGCTCCATCCTGGACAGCATGAACTTGTGAGATCTTGACCCAAGCTGAAATCAAGAGTTGTATGCGTACCCAACTGAGCCACCCAAGGCACCCCTGTAATTAATTTCTTATTCTCTAAGTCTTAGTGGCCCTGCTTCCCAGTTTGAATCCTGTCTTAATACACACTACTTGTTGGTAAGTATGTATCACTTTTATTGACTACATGGCATTCTAGTATATGAATTTTTTTTTAATCACTTGTCATTGGCCATTTAGATTATTTCTATTTTTTCTTTTTTCACTGTTATAAACAAAGGTGGTGTGGACATCCTTGAACATACGGGTTTTTTGTTTTGGCATTTGACCTTGTTTTAAATTTCTTTTTTGTTTATTTTTGAGAGACAGAGCACGAGTCGGGGAAGGGCAGAGAGAGGGAGACAGGGGATCCAAAGTGGGCAGCAGAGACCTCAGTGTGGGGCCTGAACCCATGAACTGTGAGATCATGACCTGAGCTGAAGTCAAACAGTTAACTGACTAAGCCACACAGGAGCCTCATTGGCACTTGACCTTTTATTTCTTTTGGGTAAATTTCTGGAAGTGAAAAATATATGCATTTTATTTATATTTTTATTTTATTTTTAAATTAGGCTTCACGCCCAGTGAGGAGCCCAACGTAGGGCTTGAATTCACAACCCCGAGATTAAGACCTGAGTTGAGATCAAGAGTCTTGAGCCACCTAGGTGCCCCAAGAATATATGCATTTTAGAGAAATGTTATACTTGTCTAATTGCACCCTCTAGCAGTATGTGAAAGTACTTGCCCAGCCTACAGTCTTGATCATGATGGCTCTTTGAGTTTCTTTTTTTTCGTTTTTATTTAAATTTAAATTTTATTTAAATTCCAGTTAGCAGTTGGATGGGATTTTGCTTGGGATTCTCTCTCTCCTCTCTCTCTGCCCCTCCCCCATGCACCCTTGCTGTCTCTCTCTCAAAATTAATAAACATTGAAAACAATTCCAGAGGTTCCTGAGTGGCTCAGTCAGTTAAGCATTCGACTTTGGCTCAGGTCATGATCTCACGGTTTGTGAGTTAAAGCCTCGTGTTGGGCTCTTTGCTGACAGCTCGGGGCCTGGGGCCTGCTTCTGATTCTGTGTCTCTCTCTCTTCTCCTCCCCCACCTCCGCACTCTGTCTTTCTCTCAAAAATAAACATTAAAAAAAAATCTGGTTGGTTAACGTACAATGTAATCTTAGTTTCAGGTGTACAATATAGTGATTCAGCACTTCCATACAACACCCGGTGCTCATCACAAATTCACTCCTTAATCTCCATCACCTATTTAACCCATCCCCCCCACTCACCTCCCCTCTCATTTCAGTTCTTTTAAGAAGAAAGATCATGTGAGAAGATAATTAGTTAACATGGAAGGAGTTAGTGGAAGGAGGCTAGTGTCTCAGACTAAGTATGAAATATATTCTGTCAATAATACTTTAATTATGTGTAACTAATTCTGTGTTTAAATGTAGTTGCTCTTTTAGGGGCGCCTGGGTGGCTCATTCGGCCAAGTGTCCCAACGTCAGCTCAGGTCATGATCTCACGGCTTGTGAGTTAAGCCCCATGTTGGGTTCTGTGCTGACAACACAGAGCCTGGAGCCTGCTTCGGATTCTGTGTGTGTGTCTCTCTCTGTCCTTCCCTCGCTTGTGCTCTCTCTGTCTCGGTCTCTCAAAACTAAATAAATGTTAAAAAAGGTTTTTTTTAAAATGTAGTTGCTTTTGGGGTGCCTGGGTGGCTCAGTCGGTTAAGCGTCCAACTTCAGCTCAGGTCACAATCTCGCGGTCCATGAGTTTGAGCCCCGCGTCGGGCTCTGGGCTGATGGCTCAGAGCCTGGAACCTGCTTCCGACTCTGTGTCTCCCTCTTTCTCTGCGCCTTCCCCGTTCATGCTTGTCTCTCTCTGTCTCAAAAATAAATAAACGTTAAAAAAAAAAATTTAAAATGTAGTTGCTTTTTTGCAAGCTGGGTTTTTACAGGTTTTGCATTAAGTCTGTTTTTTAAAATACAAGTTTTGTAGTATATATAGGAATTAGTCTGGGATAAATGTCACTGACTTAGGCTGTAATTATGGCAAAACTTAAAATTTCAGAGTCTGAATATTTAGTATTGGAAATGCCCTGGGGATATAAATTAACTTGTGAAGGTTTAAAAACAATCTTTTTTTTTTTTTCCTCTAAGTTTGTTTATTTTGAGAGAAGGAGAGGGAGCTAGTGCACCAGTGCATGTGGGAGAGAGGCAGAGAGAGAGGGAGGATAGAGAATCTTAAGCAGGTTCTATGCTCAGTGGGGAGCCCCATGTGGGGCTCGATCTCACGAACTGTGAGATCATGACCTGAGCCAAAATCATAAGTCAAACTCTCAAATGATTAAGCCACCCAAGCGCCCCTAAAAATATATTCTATATTATTAGGGTTGAATTTTGAATTTTATATAGAGTATACTAGCTGTTGATTGTATTACCTCTTCTATTAAAGACGAGTGTGCCACAACTTTCATTCCTTGACCATCAGAACTGTGTGATAGGCACAGAGATTTCCTCTAGATTTTGCTGGAAGCTCATAGGACTGTTAGCAGTTGCTTCAGTGGGAGGTGGTAGGAGGATCTGTGCTAAGGCTTACAATAGCTAGATTTCAACCTGAATTGTTAGGCAAACAGTTTGTTCTTTTTGCTGGATATTTGCCATAACCTGGTAGAGTTTGTTTTATTTAGTTTTCACTTTTGTTACAATGGGAACTGTGTTGGAGAAAATTATATCCTTTCAACGCTAGCTGGGTATTGAATATATGCATAACTTAATCCCCATGACTCCATGCTTACGAGGTTTGTTTGTCAGTGGTGAACCACCCATTTAGTCCATGTGCTCTTTTTCCCTCTCATCCTTTCCACAAAAGGATTTATAAATGATTTATAATTTATAAATGATTATAAAATTTACTGGAAAGTTTCTTAGGTCTCAAACCAATCAAACCTTATGTTGGCCTTCAGCAAAATAGATGTTTTGTTTTGTGTACTTTATGATATATAAAACTCACGTCTTAAGTTTTTCCTATTAGTATTACCATACTTGTGGTTTTTTTTTTTTTTTTTGGAGGGCCCTTAGACCAAGAAGTGTTCCTTATATATTGTATTTGATCAATTCTAAGACACTTCCTCCTCACCCCCACATTTTAACCTTTTCTGAAATTGGGATACATTTTACAGTTAAAAAGCTGGTAGAGCAGTAGTCATTGTCTGTACTTGTGTGAACTTGGTTGTTTTTGCTGGTGGTTTAACCAGTTTATTGAAACCTGTTAAATCATTAAGGACCATTTGAGGAAAGAGTAGAGTCCTGGGTTTTGCCTTAAGAAAGTTTTGGCAGGGGGGCAACAACTTCTGGTAGGATTAAGATAGCACTAGTATCAAAATTTGCAGAATTAGTGTCAGCAGCTTGGAAGAAAATTCTGGAAATAATGGTAGAGCCTTATCTTAAAATATATTGTGTTACCCACAGTGGGAAGTTCACAGCATTACCTATATAGTATTCTTGCCACTTTGCTTAATCAGAATATAGTTATAAGGAAATAATCAGACAAATCCAGTTTGTAGGACTTTCTTAAGACAACTGGTCTGGATTTTTTTGTTTTCAAGTTTGTTTGTTTGTTTATTTAGAGAGAGGGAATCCTGAGCAGGCTCTGCATTGTCAGCATGGAGCTGCATGCAGGGCTCAAACCTATGAACTGTGAGATCACGACTTGAGCCAAAGTCAAGAGTTGGATGCTTAACCTATTGAGCCACCCAGGCACTCCTGGATTTTTAAAATATCTATGTCTTTAACATGAAAAACGATCAGGGACGAAGGGTTAAGGTTGTTTTGAGTTTTAAGGAAACCAGATAGACATGACAATAGTTGTAAAATCTGGTTAGATCTTGGATCATACAAAAGATAAGAGGTTTTTTTTTGTTCTTGGGATTTGGATAACTTTGAACATGAATTTTCTAGCAGATTTTATTACTTTCTTTATGATTAAGAGAGACCATCTAAATCTGAAAAAGCATTTTCTATAAATATAAAATAATTCTTCTAAAGAAAGCACTCTGACACAATTTAATTGGCATTTTTTTCTCAGTCATTAGATAAAAATGGTGCATCTAACACTATCTGGTTTGTTGGAATCATTGAAATAGAGTATTTTTTTATGTAGATTTAGGTTATTTTTTAATG